GTTTGTTTACTCTTTCTTGGGTTTGTTATTGCAGCTCCCACTTGTTGTGCATCTCGCAATGACATAGATTCTGATCCCTAGCTACATTTCTTCGTCAGTCTGCCTCATGTTGATGTGATTGTTGTGATGTGCATGTAGGGCCCACAAGCAAGATCTTGCATTTTTCGACGTTAGAAAGCATTTGCCAGTTTTCCGACCATTTGTGAAGTACATGTGGAACTCTTTGTTAGGCCTCAATAAAATATCCACTTCCAGCTTTACCATAATTCTTAGTTTACAAAGAAATCCAATTATCGTGATGTGTCAATTAAAAAACCAGTTCGAGCCATGAGGAGGATTCGAGCCTGTACATATACATTACGTATTCCCAAGCACACGCCTTATCGTGGTCCAATGGTTTAAGTCGTTGGTGAAGATGTGGTGTAGGTTCGAATCCTCCTCATGGCTCCAACTGATTTTCTCATAAATCTTAAAGTCATCCTGAAATATGATGATGATGTGTTTTATAATATTCTGATTTATATCATTGATTTATATACTGATTTATATATTACAAAAAGGGTTGACCCCAAGATGGTACCTTGCAGTACCCTACTCAACACATTTCTCCAGTCAGATAAAAAAAAAGATTAATTTATATTTAGGACGGCCATTTGCTTTCTTGGTTTTAACCATTCTAGTATTTTACATATATTCCATGTACTTGTAATTTCCTTTCCAGTCTTTTGATGTGGCACCTTGAACTATTCATGCCCGTGCCACCTCTTGGCTGGCTTAATCTTCATCAATCAATCGAGTAATCATCCCCCACACACTGCGACCTGTTTAGGGTGTGAACACAATGTGACCCAAACGTCTGAAGGTTAGAGCTACTCCCCTTGACGGTCATGCTTTCAGGAAAGGATATTTTGAAGGTCCTGAAGGACGTTACCGGCATCACACCCGCTGACATTAGTCAGGAAGGTGATGATATCGTGCTCCTCTTTTTATGTGAAGAAGAGCTAGAAAAACTCTTGACCAACGGAGCCATACTTCGCAAGGAGCACCACCTACATCCTCACTTCCCACGTCAGTTTCTGGCCGGAAGAACTGTTTTTACCAGCAGGACCAGCCAGTGGATCGCTGATCGTCTGCAATATAAGATAATGGACAATATCGAGGACGAAACTCTGAACCTGGGTGTATTCAACCTAGAGTTCTGCAGCACCGACAAATCATCAATGAAGATTACTTTCACCACCATAGCTGCGGCCACCCAGGCTGCCACACGAGGTTTCTACTGCTTCGGCTTACAAATACAACCCAACCAAGTAAGAAAAGGAACAATATATTGAGCTCAAGCAGTGCTTCAAATGCTACGAGCTCTCCCACCTCACCAACAAATGTCAGCACCCTGTCCAGAAGTGCAGCCTGTGCGCACTGGACCATCACTACTTCATATGTAAGGCAACAACCCATCTCTGCTTGTTCTGTGATGACGATCACAGGAACTTATTATTCAGAGCGTCGTTGATCGTGTTAATGAAATTAACTGCCAAATTGGTATAAAAATGCTTAGGCTAGCTCATCCTAATCCTTGCACAGAAGCTCTCCAAAATTTCTTTATTGAAGATCATTGTTCCAAATGGATAACAAAAACTGGAACTCAACTCAGAATGTATCAGGTTCATAATTTGTACCAAGAGAAACAACAACGGCACTTTCTTGCACCGTGGGAGGTTACACCCTTTCCAGTTTTAATCCCTCCCTTTCCACCCAAGAAGCAAATTAGAGATCAGCCCAAGCTTTGTCTTGAGGCAAAGCTCAACGCCTTAAGCCATATTTATGTTCTGCCCACAGAGCATTCTCTCTCTCAAATCATATACACTGATGGTTCCCTACACCGCACCACGGGTGCAGCTGGAAGTGCAGTTGTTCTGACAATGGGCGATGGCTTGTACTTTGAGTGGGGAGTCCGTATAAACAACTGGGCCTCTACCCTTCAGACCGAACTATTTGCCTTGATCCTTGCACTGAAATGTGTACAAGTCTCCAAACTTGATACATTAATTGTAAGTGACTCCTTATCATCCTTAAATGCTCTCAACTCTTTAAGACATAACTGTAACATGCTCGTGTCCGAAGCTAGACACAAATACAACAAAATTATTAAGGATGGTAACAGAGTCCATTTCATGTGGTCTCCATCTCATGTTGGCCTCCGAATGCATGATAGAGCTGATAAGTTAGCCAAAGAATCTGCCTTTAAAGGAGCCGTTGAGTGTAACCTTGGATTGTCAATGAGCAATCTGAGAGCAGCAGTACACCGAGAACTTCAACAAGATCTTGTAGATCTGAGGCAAAGTGAAATTGACACCAGTAATTCCATCTATCATCATACTATCATGCAAGAGGAGCCACACATCTATGGATCATCCAATAAAATCAGCAGACTTCTAGATGTTACTACTGCTCGGCTTAGACTCGGTTACAAGTATCTCTGGGAATTCTCATTATCTGCTGATGTAGACCTGACCAAATGTAAACTGTGTCAACAAAATTATTCGCACACCCTCCGTCACTATGTGATGGAGTGCGAAAAGATACGTGAATTTAGAGACAATTCTATAACCAATGTTCCAGCGATGTGTCAATATTTCATTCAAAATGATCTGCTACCAGAAATTTGAGCCAAATATCCCCAGTTTGCTAACTGTGGGTAGTAACAAAGTGATTGTAACCTATCCACCGCTGCCCACTGGATGGGGGGCGGTGTGCAGGACAAACATATCAATTTTGACACTAGCTCTCCACATATGTCAGTTGCTTAATTTAGAACCTGTACTTGAGGTCGATCTCGAACCCATTGTTGATGTGACGACTTATATTGAATTTTGTAACTAGCTCATCAAGATTGTAACTTGCTTAGCTAAATGAATTGTGGGGTTCAGTTCCTGAGCCCATTATGTGCCTCTGTAACCCTTTCCACTACCGCCCACAAGATGGGTATGGGGTGCATAATAAATGAACTAAACTAACTCATGGAGACAATCCTCACGGAGTTAATCATTCACCATCTTTCAGGGAATAATCTTGTAAAGCCGACACAACATGGGTTTGTGAAAAACAAATCCTGCCTTACAAACCTGCTCACATTTTTAGAAACGGTAACCAGCTACTTAGACAAAGGCCTTCCGGTTGATGTAGCATACATGGATTTTGCTAATCCATGAATTTACACTCTGGCTGCCTGTCCCCAACACAGTGAATGATTATTATTATAATATAGGCCCCCAGTGAGTCAAATAGATTCAATTCAATTTGCCCGAAACGCTGTGCGTATTAGTGGCTTCAGGCATTGTATGTACTAGCTCTATTTATTAATCTCTTATTATGTTTATAACTCATTTTCAATGTATATACCTTTACCTGAATAAATATCTTATCTAATTGGTCTAAGGCCAATTGAAGGTGTGATAGTGTACACACCCAATTTCTGCGTATATAGTAATAATAACACCCCAAACAAGAAATGCAAACATAGCACAAGAGATGAAACAAACAAACATAGCACAAGAAATGAGGCACAAGTATCTCGAGGAAATTTATAAAGAAGCCGGAGATGAACTAGATCAAATCTACACTGACGGGTCATCTAATCCTCTCAATGGCAGGGCTGGTGCAGCATACACGGTAATTAGGGATAATGCTTTCCAACGCAGAAATGAAGAAAAAGCGCGTATTGAGAACTATGCCTCTTCAACGCAAGCAGAGCGAACTGCCATTGTTATGGCTATCTTGAGGTTATCTTGAGATGATTTTGGGGCTTTTAGTGTCCCCGCGGCCCGGTCCTCGACCAGGCCTCCACCCCCAGGAAGCAGCCCGTGACAGCTGACTAACACCCAGGTACCTATTTTACTGCTAGGTAACAGTGGCATAGGGTGAAAAAAACTCTGCCCATTGTTTCTCGCCAGCGCCTGGGATCGAACCCAGGACCACAGGATCACAAGTCCCGCGTGCTGTCCGCATGGCCGACCGGCTCCCCAGCGGGGAGCGTTAAAGTTTCTTGAACGGAACACTAATGGTGCAATGATTTGCACCGATTCCAAAGCAGCACTGCAAAGCCTAGGAAAAAGAGTCTGTCATCATCTTAATGGCATAACTAATTAGCACTAACTACACAAGCTCTAATTCTATCCCTGTTTACAGGTAACATTCCTCCTATCCTAGTGGAGGAAGCTGAGGTGTAGTCACCGAATATAAGTAAGCGATATGAGAATAGCCAACATTACAATTTCCACAGTGAATCAGATAACTCCAGTACAGACGCTTTGGATTTACCTCACCTCTTGAACCTCAAGAATGTAGCACTCGGCGTGTACAGTTCTATCTGACCCCAAGACACTACAGCTTCGGCACAGAGCAGACAGCAGACTAGAGGACCGCATCCAGCTACAACGCTCTCTCAAGCCCCATCAAGTTTAGACACGATTCCTCAATCGAGCCGCCACGCTCTCCCACATAGAGCTCCGCGACTCCGGCCACACTCAGCTCTCTGCTCTGCTCCAAGCTCCGTCTTAACGTCTACGACACTGATGTATCCAAGACTGCTAAATAAATATGAAAACCCACACAATACTGTGTATCTGACCTACCCAACAACGTAACATAATCGTCCGTTACAGGTGGAACAACAAAAATGTCAACAGAATTTGATAGCATAAACAGAAGGAATACAATTGCTTATTAAATGTTTACAAGCCAGATAACAGCAGAGGTGCAGGTTCGGTAATTAAATGTACAATAACACCAAAGTATTGGTTGACATTTAGGAATTTAGCATGAGTGTGATAGTGTGTGTTGAGGGAGAGCAGGGTGAGGGAGAGAGAGAGAAGGGTGAGGGACAGAGAGAGGAGGATGAAGGAGAGGAAGGCGAGGGAGAGGAAGGCGAGGGAGAGGAGGGAGGGCTGGGGTGAGACAAGGAGGAGCGTGAGGGCCACGGCTGGTGGCCTGGAGAGGTCAGTAGTGCCGCTGGAGCTGGTGTGAGAAGTGGCCATGGTCCGCGCACCCACCTTACCCCGCCCCGTGTGGGGCTCTCAAGGATATACTCTATACCTCCTCCTTCTCCTCCTCCTAATGCTCCTTATCACAAGTAAGAACAAAAACATTTAATTTTTGTTCCTTCATTTTGGATGAACACGTTAAGGAAATCGTATAGGCCTATTTGTTTAGGGCTCAATGCCGTATCGAATGTGTTTATTTGTTTTTAATATTGGGTGTTGTAGCGGCTACTGAGTGCAATTGTTTATAATTATTTGTTGGATTTATACAATCAATGGGTGTTTGGGTCTCATAATGGTGAGAGGGTGAGAGTTGTCGGCGGAGATGAGAAGGGAGGAAGGAGGCCATTATGGCTCAGTGATGTGTATGACAGAATGATTGGCAGCCCTGTGACCACCTGCCCTCCACCACAGTGCCGTCCCCTCCACCACAGTGCCGTCCCCTCCACCACAGTGCCGTCCCCTCCACCACAGTGTCGTCCCCTCCACCACAGTGCCGTCCCCTCCACCACAGTGTCGTCCCCTCCACCACAGTGCCGTCCCCTCCACCACAGTGTCGTCCCCTCCACCACAGTGCCGTCCCCTCCACCACAGTGCCGTCCCCTCCACCACAGTGTCGTCCCCTCCACCACAGTGCCGTCCCCTCCACCACAGTGTCGTCCCCTCCACCACAGTGTCGTCCCCTCCACCACAGTGTCGTCCCCTCCACCACAGTGTTGTCCCCTCCACCACAGTGTCGTCCCCTCCACCACAGTGCCGTCCCCTCCACCACAGTGCCGTCCCCTCCACCACAGTGTCGTCCCCTCCACCACAGTGTCGTCCCCTCCACCACAGTGTCGTCCCCTCCACCACAGTGTCGTCCCCTCCACCACAGTGCCGTCCCCTCCACCACAGTGTCGTCCCCTCCACCACAGTGCCGTCCCCTCCACCACAGTGCCGTCCCCTCCACCACAGTGTCGTCCCCTCCACCACAGTGCCGTCCCCTCCACCACAGTGTCGTCCCCTCCACCACAGTGTCGTCCCCTCCACCACAGTGTCGTCCCCTCCACCACAGTGTCGTCCCCTCCACCACAGTGTCGTCCCCTCCACCACAGTGTTGTCCCCTCCACCACAGTGCCGTCCCCTCCACCACAGTGCCGTCCCCTCCACCACAGTGTCGTCCCCTCCACCACAGTGTCGTCCCCTCCACCACAGTGTCGTCCCCTCCACCACAGTGTCGTCCCCTCCACCACAGTGTCGTCCCCTCCACCACAGTGTCGTCCCCTCCACCACAGTGCCGTCCCCTCCACCACAGTGCCGTCCCCTCCACCACAGTGTCGTCCCCTCCACCACAGTGTCGTCCCCTCCACCACAGTGCCGTCCTCTCCACCACAGTGTCGTCCCCTCCACCACAGTGCCGTCCTCTCCACCACAGTGTCGTCCCCTCCACCACAGTGCCGTCCCCTCCACCACAGTGCCGTCCCCTCCACCACAGTGTCGTCCCCTCCACCACAGTGTCGTCCCCTCCACCACAGTGTCGTCCCCTCCACCACAGTGTCGTCCCCTCCACCACAGTGCCGTCCCCTCCACCACAGTGCCGTCCCCTCCACCACAGTGTCGTCCCCTCCACCACTGTGCCGTCCTCTCCACCACAGTGTCGTCCCCTCCACCACAGTGCCGTCCTCTCCACCACAGTGCCATCCCCTCCACCACAGTGCCGTCCCCTCCACCACAGTGTCGTCCCCTCCACCACAGTGCCGTCCCCTCCACCACAGTGTCGTCCCCTCCACCACAGTGTCGTCCCCTCCACCACAGTGTCGTCCCCTCCACCACAGTGCCGTCCCCTCCACCACAGTGCCGTCCCCTCCACCACAGTGTCGTCCCCTCCACCACAGTGCCGTCCCCTCCACCACAGTGTCGTCCCCTCCACCACAGTGCCGTCCTCTCCACCACAGTGTCGTCCCCTCCACCACAGTGCCGTCCCCTCCACCACAGTGCCGTCCTCTCCACCACAGTGTCGTCCCCTCCACCACAGTGCCGTCCCCTCCACCACAGTGCCGTCCTCTCCACCACAGTGTCGTCCCCTCCACCACAGTGCCGTCCTCTCCACCACAGTGTCGTCCCCTCCACCACAGTGCCGTCCCCTCCACCACAGTGCCGTCCTCTCCACCACAGTGTCGTCCCCTCCACCACAGTGCCGTCCCCTCCACCACAGTGCCGTCCTCTCCACCACAGTGTCGTCCCCTCCACCACAGTGCCGTCCTCTCCACCACAGTGTCGTCCCCTCCACCACAGTGCCGTCCCCTCCACCACAGTGTCGTCCCCTCCACCACAGTGCCGTCCTCTCCACCACAGTGTCGTCCCCTCCACCACAGTGCCGTCCTCTCCACCACAGTGCCATCCCCTCCACCACAGTGTCGTAGTTTATTTATTTATTTATATACAAGAAGGTACATTGGGTTTGAGAGGATACATAGCATAGTATTTACAATCTTATAAAGCCACTAGTACGCGCAGAGTTTCGGGCAGGTCCTTAATCTAACAGATAATTTTAAGTAGGTAAATTCTAGCAGAATTAATAAAATGATAACAGATACATTGTAAGAAAAAAATGAGATGAGAGAGATTAGTAAGTATATTAAAGCACATTGGTATATTAAAGCTCTGATTGATTACATTGACAGCTTGATTGGTAATTTAAACAAGATTAATAGACACTATACAGCAGATTGATAGCACATACAAGAAGACAGCAATGATCACAATGGTAAAGATGTTCCGATTGGGTACATAAGGATTGGGAGATTGGGTAGCAATAGATACAGTGCAATTTTAAAGCAAAAGTTAAAAAAATTATGAAGATGAAATTAGGTATTTTTTAGTTTTGTTTTTGAATGAAGCAAAAGTTGGACAGCTTTTCAATTCACTAGGGAGAGAGTTCCATAGACTGGGTCCCTTTATTTGCATAGAGTGTTTACACAGATTAAGTTTGACCCGGGGATATCAAAGAGATATTTATTTCTGCTGTGGTGATAATGGGGCCTATTACATCTGTCCAGGGAGAGTTTCAGAGCAGGATTTGCATTTAAGAACAGGGTTTTGTAAATGTAGTTGACACAAGAGAATTTGTGAAGTGAGAATATGTTTAGCATGTTTGAGGAGTTAGTGAGTAGTGTAGTGAGAACGGGGCATACGACCAGGTGCGACATGATAAGGTGTAAGTGTAGGTGATAGTTGAAAGTGTATGTATTGAGGGCATAGAGTTATACAGTTATGTATGCTTATAGATAGTGTTAAGCATTGGAGGGTTTAGAGTTAAGCATGGTTGCAGCACATAACATCACCAGACCTAGGAGACCGGGTGCAGTATGTGGAAGGTTAGGTTAGGGAGGCGCGGGAAACAGGATGTCTGGCACGTGTCCCTATGCAATGTGCTCACCTAGTTGTACTCACCTGGAGCAGGAGCAGCACTAGGAGACTTGCACGTAAGGGGTATGTGTTTCCACTATTGACTGAATGTATGTAATTTTAGATCAAACCCATGAGCTTTGCCATTACACCCGTCTTAGGCGTCAGAAGATTGTTATTTACTTAGCTAAACGAACTAGAGGGTTCAGTTCCTGAACCGATTATGTGCCTCTGTAACCCTTTACACCACCGCCCACGGGATGGGTATGGAGTGCATAATAAAGAAAGAAATTAAATTAGGTGGTGGTTTGAGGTGTACTGAGATGAGCGAAGTATTGGGAATGATCATATCCTCACCCACACCCCACCCCACCCCCTCCTCACCCCATACCACCAACCATCACTCCACCCTCCCCCCCCCATACCTCCACCAACGCCAACAGCCTCACTTGCATTGGATAGACTAGTTGTTCTGTGCAAAAGTCTATAGTATTGAGACCTGCAGAGTTTGGTGACAAACCCAATGATATGGTGGTTGACATACAACCCACCACCAAATGAAAGAAGACCCAGGCAAGAGTATGACAGAAACAACATGGCAGTTAACATTATCATTGAGAGAAAAGCCACTGCTGCCTGTAGAAATCGATCCCATCTGCTAATAATGAGGAACTTTAAACATGGAAGGATAGACTGGGAAAACGGAACCACATGGAGGTGAGGAAACATGGAGAGCGAAACTGCTGGAGGTGACGACTAGAAATTTTTTAAGTCTGCATGTCAAGGGTCCCACGAGAATGAGAGGCAATGATGAACCAGCAAGACTCGACCTAGTATTCACTCTAAACGATTCAGACATTAGAGAAATCGGTCTTGAAGCCCCCGTGGGTATAAGTGATCACAGTATTTGCAGTCTCCGTGGTGTAGTGGTAAGACACTCGCCTGGCGTTCCGCGAGCGCTATGTCATGGGTTCGTATCCTGGCCGGGGAGGATTTACTGGGCGCAATTCCTTAACTGTAGCCTCTGTTTAACGCAACAGTAAAATGTGTACTTGGATGAAAAAACGATTCTTCGCGGCAGGGGATCGTATTCCAGGGACCATAGGATTAAGGACTTGCCCGAAACGCTACGCGTACTAGTGGCTGTACAAGAATGTAACAACTCCTGTATATATCTCAAAAAAAAAAAAAAGTATACTGTTGTTTGAATATCTGGTCGAAGAAGGGTTAATGTACTCAAGGAAGGGACCAGAAAGCAAGAGCCCAGCATTCCGGAAGGGAAACTATGAGGAGATGAGAAAATTCCTAACTGAAGTAGCTTGGGAAACAGAGCTCAAGGAGGCAGCAGACAAGTTGGTCACAGTCTAAAATGAAAGAAAATGAAATGGAGATGAGAAACCCATGGTTTAATCAGAGTTGCAAGCTAGCAAAGCAGCTAAGTAAAAGGGCATGGAGAAACTATAAAAATAACAGAACACTAGAGAGCAGAGAAAAATACCAGAGCGCCAGGAATGAATACGTCAGGGTGAGAAGAGAGGTAGAGAGGCAATATGAAAATGACATTGCGAGCAAGGCAAACACTCAATCCAAACTGCTGCATAGCCACTTCAGGAGGAAAACAATAGTGAAGGAACAGGTAATTAAACTGAGGATAGGGGCAGAAAGATTCACTACAAACGACAAGGAAGTGTGCAAGGAACTCAAT